TGAATGAGCAGGGAAATGAAGTTGTATCTAAGGTGAAATCCAATATTATTGTGGAATGATGTGAAGAGGCGAACTCAAATGTATCGTTATCTGTAGTTTCTAACCGTTTGTTTATGGATTATTTTTGCTGGATTCTGGACATATGTGCTACCTATCAAATTTATCCTCATCGAGGATGGTTTTAAACGTGTAAGGAGTTGAATATCGGCGTAGTGATTATGAGCAACGATCAAACTTGCACTATTTGTTTAGGGAGTATTTTTATCATAATGCATGATGGTATTGTGAGGGAGCTGACTAATGTTAAACATATTTCAAATTTTATGAAGAATTTGATGTCAGTTGGGGCTTTAAAGTCCAAGTGCTATAAGGTAGCTATTGAAACAGGTGTTCTGCGGATATGTCGTGGAGTAATAGTTTTTATAAAGGGAGTTTGTTATCACAATATATACTATCTTAGGGTATACAGTGATTGGAATGACTCTTGTTGCTTATAATTTTTTTGAAGCTACTATATTGTTGCACTTGCAACTAGCTAATGTTGAAGATGTTTCACTTCTGGCTTTGTTGAAATAAAGATTAATCGAAAGAGCGAGCACTTGCAAGCTTGGTTTCTGTGAATATTGTGTATCTGACAAGACATAACATGTATCTTTTGGTATTGTCATCCACGGTACAAAAAAATATTTTAGAGTATATTCACACAGATGTTTGGAGCCGAACAAAGACAACATCATTCAGCAGGCGGAGATACATTGTCTCTTTTATTGATGATTACTCCAGTTATGTTTGGGTGTACACCATAAAGCGCAAAAGCTAGATACTGGAAATTTTCATAACTCGGAAGAAGTGAATTGAGAATTAGACTAGTAAAAAGATCCAACATATTAAATCAAACAATGGGGGCAAATACACTTCAGACGCATTCTTGCAAGAATCAGAGAGCTGGGATAAAACACAACATAACAGAACGTAGTGGCAGAGAGGATGAACTGGACTTTATTAGAGAAAGTTCGGTGTAATGTTATCGAATGTTGGGTTGAATAGTGTCTATTGGGCTGAGGCCATAGTCTATGCCTATCACTTGGTGAACCGTCTGCCTTTTATAGCTATTGAGAAGAAGACATCAAAAGAGATGTGGTCAGAGCATCCTACTAAAGATTATGAATACATTGAAGTGTTTGGTTATCCTATTTCTACGTGCAGAATGATAAATTGGAATCACAAGCAATGAAAACAATTTTCAGTGGTTTCAGGCTTGGAGTCAAGGGCGTAATTTGTTTGATCAATCAGAAATGAAGGCTTTAATTAGCAGAGATTTTACATTTGACAATGCAAGTTTGTTGAAAAATCAAGACTTAAAGCATGTGAAGAGTTCTACTGGGACCAAAAATATGCAACAGAAATTGGAGTTTGATGCAATTCCATTTGTTCCATAGAGTTTGTTAACTTCGACTTCGATACCTGATTCAGTTGCAGCTCAAGAGATGGTGCTTGGGAGGAAGTGGAAGATGTTGAGGGTGAGACTTCTGCTTGGGGAGTAGGACCAGTTGCCATAATGTCCTAAAATCAACTTGGTTGAAGGATCACATTGCATTTGCATTTTCGGTCGCAAATAGAAATATCCTGTCACTACAAAAAAGCGATAGAGAGCTCAGATTGTGATCTTTGTACAGCGACAATTAGTGTAGAGATGGAGTCTTTTCGGAAGATTAATACTAGGAGTTTGGTGAAACTTCCTCTGGGAGTAAAAGCCATTTGGTGCAAATTAGTGTATGGAAAGAAGGATCTCATGAATCTGATTTGCGAAACAATGCAAGATTAGTGACAAAAGGCTTTACGCAACGAGAATGATTAATTATGATGAGATGTTCTCCCCAGTGGTCAAGTATCCCTCAATTCATGTTCTCTTAGCACTTGTAGCAGATCACCTTCTGATCTTGAAATAGCTTGATGTGAAGACTTGCATTCCTACACAGAGAATTGTAAGAGGATATCTACATGATGCAACCGACTGGATATAGAGCATTAAATTACTTGGTTTGCAAGTTGTAAAAGTTTGTTTATGGGTTGAAGCAGTTAACACGAAAATGATATAAAAAATTGATCAATTCATGAGGAAACATGAGTACACAAAGAGCCAGTATGATCATTGTGCATATTCAAAAAGTTGGCCAACGGTGAGTTCATTTACTTGCTTATATATGTTGATGATATATTAATTATATCTGCTGGTCAGATTGAGGGTGATAGGATGAATAATCAACTGTTCAAACATTTCAAAATGAAAGAGTTAGGTGAAGCTCACAGGATTCTTGGGATGAAGATTCTTAGGGACAAGGTAGCTGGAAATGTTTGACTTTCGTAAGGAGCTAATATTCAGAAGATGCTGAAGAAATTTGGGGTTGATGACTCGAGCAAGACACTGAATCTATCAATTGCATCTTACTTTCAATTGAGTTCAAATCAGTGCTCTAAAAATGGTCAGGAAAGGAAATATATGTGATCAGTTTTTTCTGCTAGTGAAATGGGTAGTTTGATGTATGTCATGGTTTGTAGTAAACCAGACATTGCACAAGCAGTTGGTGTTGTTAGCAAGTTTCTGCATGATCCAATAAGAAAACATTGTTAGGGTGTAAAGAGTATTTTGAGGTATCTTAAGCATACAATTAATGTTGGCTTGGTGCTTGAGAGACATTCATCTATTACAAATTTGTGTGTAAGCTACACTGACTCAGACTATGTAGGTGATATGGATAGGCGGAGATCTACAAAAGACTATTTATTCACATTGGCAGGAGGTCCAATTAGTTTTTCAGTCTACTGCTGCTTTGTCTACTACGAAAGTTGAGTAGATGACATTCACAGAGGCGATGAAGAAAGTGATATGGATGCATGTCCTATTGGATAACTTCAGAGTTGGTCAGGAGTCTCAGACTGTGTTATGTGGCAATCATAATGCAATATGTTTTGCCACAAATCTAGTTCGTCATGTTCATCATTGATGTGAGGTATCACTTTATTTAAACCTTGATTGATGAGTAGAATCCAACAGACATGCTCATGAAGGTATTATCAGTCCAAAAATTCACATAGTGCAGGAGTTTGGTGAACATTAGAGCCCAGTCAGATATTTTGAAGAACTATGCGAGACTTGATTCTTTCGGGATGGGGGTTATGTAGACGACCATCTTAGTGCAGTTGAATTTGACTTTCGAGCTCATTTGGTAATCTCACTTACTGAAAGTAAGAGATGATTTGAAGATTGTTGTATTTATTTACTTTTTTGTAATTAGGGGTAATTTGGTCTTTAGGCTTTATTTATTTGTATACCGTAATCCTCTATAAAAAAATATTTAGGGTTCATGAGAGGATGATGGTTAGAACTGTTGGAAGTTTTCACCCCAAGCTTTTTTCTTTCTCTCCATCTGGTGCTAGTGAAATCTCCCTCTCCGTGGATTTAGGCTAGCAATTTTAGGCCGAGCCATATAAATCGTTTCCATTTTATTATTATTGTGTGAATTTCTTCATTTTCACATTATTTTCACATAACATCTTCCTCCTTCACATAAAAAATAAATGTAGGAGTGAGGCTCATATTCGAGCCGCTCAATTGTATGAGCAACACCGTACTTTTCACTAATGGGAGATGCTGCTCGAGTCATTCAAGTGCACGTAAGTTCACTCTTATTCTTTCTTCTCCTTCTCCTCATCCATTTGTTTCTTATGTTTCTTGCAAGTCTCTCTTACTCAGTTAGTTGATAGAGCCGCGTCTCCTCCTTTTGTTTTCAGTCGGTTGCTGGCGCACAGGGAGAGTTCGTCGGAGCTGCTAAGCTGCTTGTTACCAAGGCTCGCGTAGTTTTTGAGATGTAAACTCCTAAAAGAATCATTTCTTTATGGTATATGTCATCATTAACTTTTAGTACTTTAATAGCAGGCTTATTTTGGAAAAATTATTACAGTAGGACTCCGCATGCAGAGCTGCTTGTGGAGTCCAATCTAGAATTGATACGTGAAAAGTCGGGGCCCACCTCCATAAAAAAGAATGAAAACGCGCGACCCGACCCGACTGTGTTATAGACGTTATTTTGAATTTTTTTCGCATTATTCAGGTATTATTGATATGTTATTGAGTTGATTTTGAGATATTATTGTTCTTTAAAAAATAACATCAATAACACATGAATAACGCGAAAAATATTACTTCAATAACACAACAGTAACACAAATAACACACCAATAACACATTAAAAACGCACGACCTTGCTCGACCGTATTATAGGAATATTCATTTCGCGTCATTCTGAATATTTTTTGTGTTATTCAATTGTTATTGCTGTGTTATTGAGGCGTTATTCATGAATAACACACCAATAACACATTAAAAACGCAAAAATATTCTCATGAATAACACCTCAATAACACGCATTAATAACCCGAAAAAAATTCAGAATAATGCGAGAAAATATTCGGTCAAGCCGGGTCGCGCGTTTTTAGTCTTATTTTCATTTTTTATGCAGGTGGGCCTCAGCTTTTCATGTGTCAGCTCGAGACTGGACTCCGCAAGTAGCTCTAGATGTGGAGTCCTGATGTAATCATTTTTCCTTATTTTGGCTTATATCTTAAAAAATTTGGGCAAAAAAAGTCGTGATTTTCTTATATTTTTTGGACTTATGTGGCCCTGCACAAATAGTCTGTACACTATACTGGTCCTCTTTCTCAACTTAATTGAAATTGTTGAGTAATTTAAATTTGATCCACATATATATGGACGGAGAAGCTTCCGCCCCACCTCCTGATCCCGACAGTCTAGATGGCGTACGCATGACCTGGAACTCATGGCCCCCGATCCACGGTGGAGGCGAGCAAATGTATCATCCTCTTTGCTGCATCCATCTCCCCTATTCGCCTTTATTTTCTTATGTTGCTCGCCATTAATTTTTGATCCATGGAGGAGGTTTGTTTTTAAATGAAATGACAGAAGTTCCAGCTGCATGCAGGTTTTGATGCAATCGGATGTGCTTCAAGTGGCGGTGGACATGAGAGATCAGCTTGACCAACAAGCAGATGTGTTGAAACATATCGACGCCATTGATGGAAGTTTTTCATGTGATGAAGAAGGCTGGCTGCGACATAATCCATTTGGAATACGCACTGAGAGGGAGATACATGCCGAACTGGAAGGTGCCAAAATTTACCGGCGAATGTATCAGAAACTTTGATTCCACTCTTCTCTGTAATCAATTTACAGGTAGGGTTCTTCATTTAGGTATCAAGGTTTAATGTTTGGATTTGGTAGGATTTAGAGCGTATTTTCATCATTAATTTTTAACATCTTTTTTGTTTTAGGGGCTGTTTATATGCGTAGTAAATGTTGTAGCTTAAATTCTGAATATTATTAAATAAATTTATGTAGAATGTCTGTTTTTTCTTTTAATTTAATAATTTATAAGCTTGAGATATTTTATTATAATATTTTTGAGATTAATTAAGTTATAATGTATATAATTAAATATTGCTAATTAATCAATAGTTTACCAAGGCAAATCAATTTAGATAATAAATTAAAATTTTAAAATATCAATTATCTTAATAAAATTTTATAGTTGATTAGAATTCATTATTAAAACTAATTAGTTATTTAATTAATGCTTGCATATATCTGATTATATATTGATAATTTAGGTGCCAATATGCAAATACAAATGAATTTTGTGGTATCTATGTAAACTTCCTCATAAGATCCAATCCCCCGTCCTACTCCACTAAAAAAACCACAGAAAAGTTTTTAGCTTAGGTATTAAATTCAACGGAAACATTTGCGTGCCTTTTTGCTTGCATTAAAATATAAGGCCGGCCAAAGCACATTGAATTAGAAGATCAAACTAAAATAAGAACAACTTTTCTAAGACGGTTTTAAACTTGATTTGATTTTTATCCATAAGAAATTCTTTATAAATTGACTTTAATTTTGGCTCCTTTACTCATATAACACCTAAAATGTTTTTAATCCTTAAATAATGACCCAAATTTATTACACCCCCATTAACTTCTTCCTTCGCCTCAATTTGTTTGCATGCCAATACCAGAACTTACCCTATCTTTGCTGGAAAATATTACATCAGGACTCCGAACGTAAAACTACGTTCAAGTTGCAATAGTTAGTAATATCCCGCTGTGTTACATGAATATTTCATCTGTGTTATTTGTTAAAAATGAAGTGTTATTCGAGTATTATATGGTGTTACTCGATTATTTTGTGGTGTTATTGGAATATTCCCCCACATTACTTGATTTGGGGCTAAAATGTTATTGGAATATTTCCTCGAGTTACTTGATTTGGGGCTTGTTATTCGGCATATTCTCCTTATTTCAATTTCTACTAACACGAGGAATATGTCAAATAATACAGCCTCAAATCAAGTAACGCAGGAGAATATTTCAATAATACCGCAAAATAAGCGAATAACATCATATAATATTTGAATAACACTTCATTTTTTACAAATAACGCAAATAGAATATTCTTGTAACACAACGGGATATTCCTAAGATTTGCAATCCGAACGTAGCTCTACGTTCGGAGTACGTAGCTCTACGTTCGTCTACGTTCGGAGTAGATTTGCAATCCGAACGTAGCTCTACGTTCGGAGTACGGAGCTCTACGTTCGGAGTACGTAGCTCTACGTTCGGAGTCCTGATCTAATATTTTTCCCTCTTTGCTTCCTATTTGAAACCAACACAGACAGAAACAAGTCTCTCACTCTCGACTTCACAATTTTGATTCCCTCTCCCATCTCCTTGCCTCTTTTCTAGGTTTCACGCACGTGGCACTACCCAATCGTAAGATCTACTACATAATTGGGATAATGGAAAAAAGAAGAAGAAAAAAGATGACTCGAATTGAATCATGCTCATCACTATTCATAAATCATAAGTAACAATTTCAGATTATTTGGAAGTACGCTTCTAGGACCTGAGTGATCTAAGTAAGCGGAACACTTAAACGAATAATAATAAGAAGAAGAAGAAGAATAATTGGAACAACAAAAACACGTTACAAAATTTGGCTACAAATAAGAGCGAATGCCTTCGAAAGATGCAAGCTTTCTTGCCAATCCGGATACAAGAGAATATCGAGATGCTTGTGTGATTGCCGATATCATTGCCATTTTCTCTATGCATGGGCTAAATAAAATTTAATCAGCAACTTAGGTAAAAGTTCAACTTCTCAAACCTGGAACTGGTTTCCAATCAGGTTTCTCATCCCAGTACATGTCATAAAATATATGACCTGGATCTTTATTCATCACGCAGCACCATATTCCTACATAGCCCTGGACACGATTTCGGAACCTTGTCTCGGCCACCTTCGCTCATAAATAGAGTAATGATTCAATCAATTCAAATGCAGAATTGAAATAAAAAGAGAAATTAAGGTCAATATTAGTAATTCCTGCTACAATAACAACCTTTTTTCTTATTAATTTAACGAAATAAAAATGGGTTAGTCATGGTATTTTAAACAAAGTCCTACTAAGATATTAACATGAAGGAACAAATGAGTTTGCTAGCATACCGCGTTATCAAACCCTCCGAAGACGTCCATCATAGATGAAAATTCTATCACTCTGACATCCTTGTGCATCGAAAACAGCTGTATTATCTGTAGGAGAAAGTTGTGAATATTTAGTTACCAGGCATGATCATGAAAGATTCAATGAAAATTCCAGTAAGGATATTTTTAACGATGATAACATTTTTGTCATGGTTTTCCACCACACAATTTTAGAGGATTCGCAACTAGTATCAAGAGGGAAATCAAGGGTTTCAAATGAGGTCAGGGCACAAAATTTGGAAAATGACCGTAGAGGCAAAATAAAAAAGAAACTTATATAACAGATACATTTGAAAGAGAAATTCAGGATAAGACATTCAGATTATACATAGTAATATATAAATTTTCTCAAACCTAGAGGAGAGACATATGCTTAGAATATGCATGTTAAGTGTACGAGTTATATGGCATTGAGAGGGAAACGATACCATTTCTTGGGTACTATGCTTTGGCAATTTGATGAATCCCTGTCGTTCGGTACGATTGGTTGCGTGACACTTCGGTAATTTTTGCTCACAGAGCTGAACCTCAAGAAAGGACTCCTTCACCTAAATCCATTAAAGGTACATCTTTAAATTTAAGTAGAAGAATCCAATATCAACTTTGTAGTTTTAAGCACCATACATCACCTGTTTCGGAAGCCTTGGGTTTTGGAGGAAGGAATATTCCCTGAAATCAATTGTTGGTCCAAATTCTTCAAAAGATTGATCTCTCAGCATAATATTCACCTAAACAAGTAGGAATGTCCTTCTCAGAGTTTATACAGGAGTTGAGAGATTCTGAAATTCACATAAATAGTTAAGATGTGGTGATGAAGACCATGTTGATAACAAACATGCTAATTATTCATATAGCCCTTCTGATCAGAAAAAAATAAATTTATAATTCTACCCTGGCCCAAATGATCTCAAGCAATCATATACTGGACAACAACTGCAATATTAAACCATGTAGTATGGATTACACAACTGATTCCGTTATTATTACCAAAACACAAGTGCATCCAGCGCAATATAGAAGGCACTCGGCACATAAAATAGTTTAGATTATGGTGGTCATGAAGACCACAGAACATGATCTTTGATACACCCATCCCATGAGGCAAAAAAGAAACTATAAATCTTAACCTGTACACTCAATGATGTGAACGTTAACTTATGCTTCGTAATAGCTGCAATATTAAACCATGCAGCAAGGATTCTCACAACTCATTTCAAAGTTACTACCAGCATGCAGGCCCATCCAATGCCTGTGGATGTCACAAACACCACTAGAAATAGTATGCCGACGGTAATGAAATTTAAACCATGCATTTTGCATGGTTAGTGAATAATAAAGAAAAGAGTGACAACAATGAAAGTAAACAGAATATGAATTACTTCCATGACTGATCAAGTTGTTGATATGATGGTGTTGTAAACCATGGAAAGTGTCGAAGGCTCATGAATCTAATACTTCTTAAAGTTAGTTTATATTATGGCATACCTCAAATACATGGTCCATTGGACAGAGAAAAGGTTGTCTTGTTAAAGTTCCTTCCATTATTCCAGGATGACCAAACCACATTCTGTCTAACCTGCACCATATTGGAGGCATTACCTAAAATAGAAGAAGGATTTCAGTCTCAAGCACATAAACATATGCATGACATTTACATAATCAGAAACTGAATTGCACTTATATCTCGATCACTGAAATTGCAGACAGTAGCTTGTTTCATTATTTCATCTCCCTAATGCATGATAAAATAATATACTTATAAACTATCTCCTCTTTCCTCAAGAAGTTTGTGTGCAAACCTCTTGCACTTAATGGGATATAAATGGTCATGTAAAGAAACCCGGTGTGTGTAATCTTGTAGTTGCTTTTTTATTGTGAAAAACGACGACAATAAAACAAAAATCGGATCGAGAAATTTACAAAACAGAAAGCAAAGCAGAACATACAGATTTACGTTATTTGACAAATTAACTATGTCAACAAAGTTACAGAAATTTTATTGCTTGAGAATTACACTCGTCGATCGTCTTGACGTTTACAGAAAAATCTCTATTTCTCTTTTTCTCTCTCCTCACCTTTCTCTCTCCTCTCCCTTGAGCCACATGAAGAAGAATTAACCAATAGAAAAAAAGGAGCAGCAACTTTATTTCTTCCCTTAAGACCAACGCCCAAGGGAAAACAAGGTAGCAGGTTGAAATTTCTTCACATCCCATAACTCTTCTTCAACACCTCTTTATAGTTTCTAGGTGAGGCCCTATCTTGGCCCATATAAGGAAACGGCTACGAATTTGGAAAGCGTAAGGTGGCAGGCGGGAACACGAGAAAAAAGACCGCGTGAATGTGGGAAGAAAAAACACGTGAACGTGGGGAGAGTACCTGGGAACGCGGTTTCGCTGGAGAAATACATAAGGAAACAAATATAGAGAATATATGTGATTAACAAATCAAAATAATTTGCCTTAAATGCAGTGGACCGGGCTCCACATATTTCAATAATTCTCCCACTTGGAGACTGGTACACTGGTTGTATCACCCACTGCTTGCATCATCCTCTGACTGTGATATCCTTCACTTCTACAACTCAAACTCCCTGTCTTTATGCTAGAAGACCAACTGAAGTTGAGCACAACTTCAGTTTATCAAGTGTAACACCCTTAGCCAACATATCAGCAGAGATCTTGCTTCCACAAATTTTCTCAAGTAACAGTTGTTCTTCGTCTAGCAATGATCGAATAAAGTGATATCTGATCTGAATGTGCTTGGTCCTGAATTGAAATGTTGGATTCCTGACAAGGAATATGACGCTTTGACTACCACTGTAGAGAGTGCCCTTTTGAACCTCCTTACCCAATTTTTCCAAGAAACGCGGCAGCCATATCTCCTTAGCAGCCTCTCACACTATAATGTACTCAGTTTTTGTAGTGGACAACGAAACTGTTTTATGTAGATTTGAGCCCCATGACACTGTAGTACCACCAAGAGTATAAACATAGCCTGTAGTACTCTTCCTACTACCAATGTCTCCAGCTAAATCTGCATTGACATAGGATTGTACATCCACATCTTTCCTGAGAAACACTAGCAGGTTTCTAAGGAGCCTATTAGGTATCTCAAGATCCACTTCACAGCTTCCTAATGTTCTTTCCCTGGATTAATCATATATTTGTTCACAACTCCCACTGCATGGGCAATATCCGATCTGATGCAAAACATAACATATATAAGTGAAACAATAGCTGAAACGTAAGGAACCTTACTCATGTAGTCTCGTTCCTCCTCTAACTTGGGTGACTAATTCTTGCCGAGTCTGAAATGACTGCCTAAATGTGTGCCAACTGGTTTGACCTGGTCCATATTGAACCTGCTAAACACCTTTTTCACATATTCAACCTGTGAAAGCCTCAACGTGCCTCTGACTCGATCTCTGACAATTCTCATGCCAAGGATTTACTTTGCAGCTCCCAAATCCTTCATTGCAAAGTGCTCTGGCATCTGCTTCTTCAGATTATTGATCTCATCAATGTTGACCTCTGCAATAAGTATATCATCCACATACAACAGTAAGATGATATAAGAGTTGTCAAAGTACCTAACATAACAACAGTGATCTACTTGACATCTGTTGTATCATGCATTGAGCATAAATTTATCAAATTTCTTGTACCATTGTCTAGGAGCTTGCTTCAGACCATACAAGCTCTTCTTCAGTCTACAAACTGAATATTTCTTTCTTGATACCACGAACCCCTCAGACTGGTGCATGTAGATGTCTTCTTAAAGGTCTCCATGAAAAAAAAATTATCTTCACATCTAATTGTTCAAGAAATAAATCTTCAGTAATAACCATAACCAGTATCACCCTAAAGATTGTGAGCTTCATCAAAGGAGAAAAGATCCGAGTAATCAATGCTCCGCCTCTACTGAAAACCGTTTATAACAAGTCTAGCCTTGTACCTCTTGCTGCCATCAAGCTCAGTATTCACCCGGTACGGTCACTTATTATGTAATGTCTTCTTTTTTGGTGGAAGTTCTGTCAGCTCTCATGTCTGATTTCCTAGCAAGGAATTCATTTCCATTTTCATGGCTAGCTCCCACTAGCTAAAATTCTCATCTGTCAAGGTTTCTTCATAACTCTGTGGTTCTCCACTATCTGTCAGCAGATTATAGTTCAAAGTTGGTAAGGTTGTGGATAAAGCCTGTTCCTGACTGATATGCGAACGGTAGCTGGAGTAGTGAATGACTCTGAACTTGACTGTGAAAAAATATGAATGGGTGCCCCAGACCCACTCTCGTTATTCACATCTTTGCCCTGCACTGTGACCTCTGGTAAATCGTCAAACCTTACGAACTCCGATTCCTGAGGAGCTGCTTCAAAATTTGTATTAGTCTTGTTCTTGTAGATTATCTTCTCATTAAAGATCACATTCCTGCTTCTGCTTCCGATCTTGATCATCCCAAAAACGATAGTCCAATGTTTCCTCTCTGCATCCAATGAAATAACATTTCTTTGAATTAGTTTCAAGCTTGCTACGAGCATCAAGATTGATTAGAACATAAGAAAGACAGCAAAAAGTCTAAATATGAGAAAATTTTACCTCTTCGCCGCTCCAGTCCTCCTTAGGCAATGCACAATCTACATCTTCTCATTAAAAATTACATTTCTGCTTTTGAATAAGCTTCCGATCCTGATCATCCCAAAAACGATATCCAAATGTTTCGTCTCTGCATCCAATGAAATAACATTTCTTTGACTTAGTTTCAAGCTTTCTACGAGCATCAGGATTGATTAGAACATAAGAAAGACAGCCAAAAGTCTTAAGATGAAAAAATTTGACCTCTTCGCCGCTCCAGCCTCCTCAGGTAATGCAGTCTAATGAGATGGATGACCCTTTGTTAATCAATAAATTGTAGTGCTGACCGCATCTGCCCAGAAAATTGATGGCAATCTGGCGTGCAATCTCATGCTCCTGACATGATAGTCCTGTTCATACGCTCTGCAACTCTATTTTGCTGTGGTGTCCCGGGAATAGTCTTCTCCATTCTGATACCCTGAGCTGCACTCCTTGAACACACCATCGATGTACTCACTACCGTTATTAGACCTCAAACATTTTAGTTTTAGATCTATCTCTGTCTCAACCATGACTTTTCAAGTTTTGAACACAACAAATACATCAGATTTATGCTTCATAAAGTAAACTCATACCTTTATGTTGTGGTCATCTATAAATGTGACGTAGTAGCGAGAGCTTCCAAGAGATCACTGGGGAAGGTCCTCGGTCCCCACACATCAGTGTGTACAAGTTCTAGTTTTCCTGCCTTTGACGCCCTGCCACCTTTCAAGAAACTGACATTCTTCAACTTCCTTACAATGCAACTTTCGCACATGCTGAGATCAACTGACTTTAATCCTGGCAGCTTGCCTCTGGACGGATGCTCTTTCATGTCTCTTTGACTCATGTGTTCAAGTCTGCAATGCCACATGTTTGTTGTGCACTATGCAACTGTAGTGTTAACACTGCTAATTAAAACAGAAGTCATATACAACGTACCAGTCTTCTTATCCCGAGTCAGTACCAGTACTCCTTTAGTAACTTTCTAGGTGCTATCTGAGAACACTATTGTATGCCATCCTTCATCGAGCTGCCGAACATAAATTAGATGCTTCTTCAGCTCAGACATATGTTTGACCTTTTGTATAATCCATTAGCTCTTATTAGGTAGTGTAATATCAATGTCTCACATCCCCACCACTTTCAAAGTTTCTCCATCACCCAGATACACCTTCCCAAAGTTACCTGCAACATAGTTTCACATTAACTCTCGGTGGGAAGATGTATGGAAAGAAGCCCCAGAGTTCAGTATCCAGCCGTCAATAAAACTGTGAACTGCAAGCAAAAGTGCATCCTGCACTTCTTCAGTTTCAGCATTAGCACTGATAGTTCTTCTTTATGTGGCCAGTTTTGCCACAATCCCAGCAAGTTGCTTGGTGCCCAGACGTTGACTTGCTCTTGTCTCTGTGCTTTGATTTTGTTTTTGTCTAGTGATCTCCATTTGGAATTAACATCCAGTGCTGAACTCGAACCCGATTTCTCGCCAGAATCTTTCCTGCGCACTTCCTTAACCAAAATCAAATCACGAATATCATCATATTTCAGCTTGTATTTACCTGCAGAGTTGCTAACTGTCATCCTGATGACTTCCTACCTATTTGACAATGAACAAACAATATCAGCACACGTTTCTCATTGTCAAATTCAATTTCGACAGACGACAATTGATTTGTGATAGTATTAAAGTTATTCAGATGCTGTACAACGGACGTACCCTCCACCATCTTCAAATTGAATAATTTTATCATCAGATGCATCTTATTATTTGCCGGCGGCTTTTCATACATACATAACAAAGCCTCCATGAGATCCGCAGTGGTTCTCTCTTAAATGACGTTGTATGCAACTGATCTCGATAGAGTCAATCGAATAACCCCCAGAACCTGTCGATTCAACAGATTTCAATCGGCCTCATCCATCTTCTCCGATCGCTTTCCCAATAAAGGAAGAAGAAAGTTCTTCCCATAGGGATAACCCTCTATCTGC